AAAAAAAAAAATCACAAAATAGAAAACCGCGTGGCGCACAAGCACTGCGCGAAAAATCTAGTTCACTGGAGCCATGTGGAACCTTCTCCTGAAGGCCCCGCTTGTTCTGCCTGGATGGGAGGAGCAGAGTGAAAATTAAAAAGAGAAAAGGTGTAGCTAAGAGCCAGAGAAAAACTGTGCCTTTTAAAAAAAGGGTAAAAAGGAAAAATTACAAAAAAAAAAAAGGGAAGACAGAAGTAGGGAGAGACAGGAATGGAGAGACAGAGATAGAAGGCTGGGAGTGCAGGGGAGGGCTCCCTACCACTAGCTCATTTGTTGGAGGCTGAATTATTAGTAGAAAATCTTCATTCCCTTAAAAATCTAGTTCACTGGAGCCATGTGGAACCTTCTCCTGAAGGCCCTGATTCTCGGGAAAATAATACTTTTTAAAAAAAATCTCTCTTAAAAAAAAAAAAGCTGGATCAAGTCCACCTGTTTTTTTTTTTCCTCTAAGACTGGTAAGAGCATTTCAGGTTTGCTATCATGATTTTGTGACAATTAATGACCACTTTGTAAAATGAAGTATTTTGTAGAGCAAAATGTTCTCATATTTAAACCAGTATATTCTAGATTCTAAAATAACACACAAACACCACACATTTCTGTATTGTCTTACAGTATATTTTAAAATGACAGTAACAAATGCTTTTCCCTTGTTGGGGAATGACATATATAATTTTCAATGAATAGGGCCTTAAAAAGTAACAGTATTTTGTCCAAATTGAACTTATATAATTGCACAAAAGTCATATAAAGCATTAAGAAATGGTAACAAAGACCACAGTTTCTCAGACCCTCATGGAACACATCCCAAGAGGTATTAACTTCAATGGGGACCCCTAATACAAATAATACTGATGTTCCCCCAAAGTTCCTTAGTAACACAGGAAGAGATCAGGGCAACAGGGTCCAACTATGGTGGCACACAGGTAGTGTTACTGCTTGGGTAGCTGGAGGCCACGTGGGAGGCCTGGGTTCAGTTCCCAGGCCAACCTCAACAAGCTAGGCACGGTTGTGTGTGCCTTTAACCCCAAGTAATTGCAAGGCTGAGGCAGAGGGCTGCAACACAGTGAGACCCAGTCAGAATAATGCCTATCTCTGCCTCTCCGTTCCTGTTCTCTCTCAAGAAGGGGCTGGGAAGAGAGCAGTCAGGAGAATGCATGTGGTTTGTGACAATGGAATATTGCTATTATGTTAGGGTTTAATGATGTATTCACCTTATTATTCTAGAAGCATTAGAAACACTTCAGGTTAAAGCATATTTGCCCAGGCTTAAAACTTAGCCCATCTGCTTATGTTGGGAGCTATATACGATTCTTCAGGAGACTAAAACTTTAAAATATTCACTCCATTGTAAAAACATCTTCCAGAGTCCTTTATGCTGCCACATCTGTGAGTCCTCCCTTAGTTTCTAACACACACACACACACACATGCTACATGATTGTCTATCGGTTCTAACTCAAATTCCAACAGTTTTCTTGGCAGAAACACCATGTTACAAGAAACTCTGAGCATACGGCTGAATTGTGGGAGACAGCTCCTGGGGTCTTATTCGGGACCAGAAATGTGCACAGCAGGGGGTGGCGCTCATGCCTCCTCTGTGCGATCTTTGTATAACAGACTGAACCAAAAAGGATGTGGGTTATAGATGTTTGGAAAAATATAACAAAGCTCAATTTTATTTTTGTGAGATACTATGCCTTTATATGGAGATATAACTTGTTTTAAGGATCTTAATCTCAACTCACATAGAATAAGGGTTTTCCCTTTCTGACCTAACAAAAGTAATGAGAAAGAAACAACATTTTTTTAAAAGAGGGATTTCTGCTATTAGGGCACATGTGCTCACCAGAGAGACAGAGAGAAAGAAAGACACAAAGCAAGAAATCACTCCCCGGGGGGATGGCCACACTGCAATCCCTCCTCCTCCATTCTCCTCTTGGGATCTAGGGCACGCATGCAAATGTTCCCAGCATAAATTTTAAGGCACCGGGTCTGGGACTCGAACCACGGCTATGTGGGAGTCCAGCAACATAACCATTATGCAATCTGCTGGTCCCAGAAACAACATTTTGAAAAAAGTTCGCCCAGAGAATACTGTACGTCATCTTCAGAAGTTCGTTCCTCATCAGGGACCGAGACTATGAGAAGAAGGGTATCTTTACTCTGTTATTCTACTGTTGCATTTCAAATAAAAAATAGTCTGTTTCCTGATTATAGGGGAAAATAACAATTCTTTTTTTTTTTTTTTCTTTTTTAAGAGAGGTTTATGCTGTAGTGTGCATGCGCTGACCGGAAGGACGGAGAGACAGAAAGCGAAAAATCACCCCCCGGGGGGATGGCCATGCCACAATCTCTTCTCCTCCATTCTCCTCTCAAGATCTTGGGCACGCATGCACACATACCTGGCCTGAGTTTAAGCCTCCGGGTCTGGGACTTGAACCGCAGTCAATGACATGGGAGTCCAGCAACATAACCATTATGCCAACTGCTAGTTCTAAAAATAGCAATGCTTGAAATAAATATATAAATGTGACAATGGCTGTCCAGATAGGCTTCTTACATTTAGAGGGCATCACTAATGATCCAACCGTATCTCTTCAATTTGAGGAAAAAATCCAGTGGTAACACTTGGAAAAGTTTTTCGTTTTGTTTTTTAAATGAAAGATTTTGGTAGGGAAGACGAGTGTATTTAAGAAGTATTTGCTATACTTAGAGCTGGAGGGAAATGAGGGCTAATGTCTGTGGCAGAGCTAAGAATAAAGGAAGTAGCTGGATGGTGTGTAATTACCTGCTCAGTGTATCCTTAATACATCAGACAGACCCTACAACATTGCTATGAAATGTTCATTGTGTTTTCTTGGTGGTTCTAATAAGTGTGATTCAATTGCTATGGTTAATCTGGACTCAAAGGACAACAAACCTGGCTGGGTCCATGACTAAAATTTCTCACCTGAAGAAATTCACAGCAGCCATTCTATCTATCGGCATTTGACTGGAATCGAATCAGAAGTCTGTTTCATATCCAGCTATGCTGCCACACATAAACGCCACTTAGGCTATTAATTAGAAAGTTGAGAACCAAAGAAAATGACTTACAGGAAGAAAAGGAAATGCCTTATTTCAGGATTGAAACCTGGACAAAGAAAACCCAATCCAAGGAAAGAGCTGTGGGGGTCACAGAGGCTTATGAAGCAAGAAGTCAGAGTTGTGGATTTACTTCTCTCCCTTTCTTCTAGAAAGTAGCTCAGAACTGAGCAAGAATAGGGATGCAGAGTCCAGTGTTGCAGCCTTCATTCCCACAGCTGCTTCAATAAAGTGAGCAGAGCTAAGCATTCCTAGATGAGCACCATTGGTTATTAATATTATCTTTATCTCTTAATGAAGTCACTACCTGTCTGCTTGTGGTTCTGTACCTTGGGTTTTCCTGATAATGTGGGCAAACTTCTGATACTACAGAGATCATTAACCCCCCTGGACAGTGCTTCCCTAGTTAAAACAACAAAACAAAGCCAAAACCAAAAATCCAAGCCCTTCCTCCAAAAAAACCCCCTCAAATTTATGCTCTAAGAACCAGCATATTTTATAACATTTTGGACCGTATCCCTGTGAACACAGTGGTTCTGAAAGCTTCTGTCACAGAAGCTCCTGAGTAAAGCATCTGCAGTCTCTACTCTATCCTGCAACTAAATCACTGAACCACATCTAATGCTGCATTTAGAGAAACACCATCTTCATTACTGCCTTTCCAGGGCTAACATTAGAGAAGTAAGGACCAAAGGATGTTTATAGGCTCTTGGTCAATTCCATACTTTGCTCTAATCAGCACTAGAGAAAAATCAGAGTAACAGGTGTAGCTCTCTGAAAGTCAGGTTTCACTCCTCTGGGTAGGATCTTCCCGTGGCCCATGCAGCAGCAGCAAGGTTGACCTATGAGGGTTAGTGCAGTGAGAACTTAGAAGGAAGCAGGAGGTCTGGGAAAAGAATCATCTTTACACTGGAGAGAACAGATGGTAGAGGGCTGGATCTACAGCAGACACATTTATAATTTTCTTTCTCTTCCATTTCTCCCCTTATCAAGAATCTACACACTTTCTCGGCCCCAAGTGACCAAATAGTAAGAAAGACTCAAACTGCTTTGTTTGACCGCCCATGTTGCTGGACTCTGGACTGTGGCTGGATGTTAGGACTGAGGGACATCAGTACTCCCGAGGGCTCTTGTGGCACACAAGATCTGGAACTGGTAGAGATGAGTAATAAAAGGTACCTTCTGGCTACCCACAATCATTGACAGGTGGCTCTGCAGAGGCAGAGATCTTGGCAATTAGCTTAAAATACAGGCATCACAAAAAGATCTTTAGACATCAGGTGAATCTCAGCAAAAGCACAGAAAGGGAAGGGTCTGACCAGGAGAAGAACATTCACATGTTTCAATGTGTTAAGATGCATGGACATATGTAACCGAGGCTTTTCTCTTATGTTTAAAATTTAAACTGTCTCAGGTCATTAATTCTGAAGAATTAATGTTACTAGAGCAACAGTAACATACCATTCAAAAATTCCTCTTTCTAGGTTTCTATCTATAATACTTAAAGCAAAAAAGCATAACAAAACAAAACAAAAAACCCCATATACGCAATTACATAGATTCAGACTGTGGCTGCACTCCCAACTGGAACACATGTGCAAATGCACAGAGACACTCACAAAGTATGCGTGCAGGGATGGCAATGTCCATCCCACCTGAACCTGAGATGTGTGTGGGCTGTGGAGGGTCAAGAGGCCTTGCTGCAAATCTGTTCAATGTCATTCAACTCTTTGGGACAATCTGCAGAAAGTATGAGAGGCGAGTCCTGAGTCACCACTACATCATCTTCAATTCGTACTCCAAGACCCCGGAACTTCTCTGGGGCATCTTTGTCATCTTCTGGAATATAAATGCCTGAGAAGTAGAGATAAGAATATCTTATTCAACAATAACATTAACTGGGTGATTTGAAGCAAGTAAGTTAACTTCTGTGTGTTACAATTTCACCTATAATACTGAATCTTAAAGGTATCTTCATAATACATGCAAAAATGCCTGATACATAATGGTCAATAAATACTGCCAATCATAACCAGTATGATTATTATTATAGCTATCTTATATATCAGACTACAGGCTCCATACGACTATGATAATGGAGGGCACGAGTCTGTCATATGCTGTGGCTCAAGGAGGCCACTAAAGTTACTTGTGAGTATGTTAACCAACATATGCTGGGATCCAGGAGATAGGCATGGATCTTCTCCTATATAATAGTCCTCAGGGACCAGCAGTTAGCGTAATGGCTATGTCGCTGGACTCCCATGTAGTCGACTATGGTTCGAGTCTTGGACCCAGTGGCTTAAAAACTCACACCAGGTGCATGTGCATGCCCAAGATCCCAAGAGGAGAATGGAGGAGAGGGGACTGTGATGTGACCATCCCCCCTCGGGGGTGATTTCTCGCTTTCTGTCTCTCTGTCTCTCTCTGTCTGTTGGGTGAGCACATGTGCCCTACAGCAAAAACCTCTCCAAAAACAACTACAACAACAACAAAAAACAGTCCTCTAGAAAAGGTACATTTTGCTAAAAGTAAGACAAAATGTATTTAAATACATTGAAATACTCATTTAGAGATTATCCTTAACAACCAAATCTGAAGAAATGGTCATTATAAAGTTTTATTTTCCTCTTAAATAGTTATAAATAAAACAGATGTACATAATATAAAGTAAGACAGGCACATGTAGACTAATGTACATTTGGAAAGCTCTAGAAGCCCCAAGTACCTTTTCCTTCTTTTCTTTTTTTTTTGCTATGCAGCATGTGTGCTCACCAGAGAGACAAAGAAATACAAAGTGAGAAATCATTCACCACCATGCTACAATCCCTTCCCCTCCATTCTCTCTCAGGATCTTGGGCACACATGCACACACGCCTGGCATGAGTTTTTTTTTAGAGTTTTTTTTTTGCTATTAGGGTGCGTGCGCTCACCAGACAGACAGAGACAGAGAGACAGAAAACGAGAAATCACCCCCCATGGGGGATGGCCACGCCTCAATCCCTTCTCTTCCATTGTCCTCTTGGGATCTTGGGCATGCACGCACACGTGCCTGGCGTGAGTTTAAGCCACCGGGTCCAGGACTCGAACTGTAGTCGACTACATGGGAGTCCAGCGACATAGCCATTACGCTAACTGCTGATACCCTGGCATGAGTGTTAAGCCACCGGGTCTGAGACTTGAACTGCAGTCAACTATGTGGCGGTCCAGCAATAAGACCATTACACCATCTGTTGGTCCTTTTTCTTTTCCTTTTTTTTTTAATTTGCTAGAGGGTGTGTGTGCTCCTCAGAAAAGGAAAATAAGAAAGCACCCTTCTCATGGAGGATGGTCATGCTGCAATCTTTTCTCTATTCTCCTTTGGGGTTCTGGGCATGCATATACATGTGTCTGGTGTGTTCCTCAAGCTGCTGGTTCTGAGAGTCAAACCATGTAGTCAGCCATGTGTGATCCAGCCACCTTAATCACCACACCACCAAATTGACTCCCAGGTACTCTTCCTTCCTTCCTTCCTTTCTTTTTTGAAGAGGTTTTTGCTACAGAGTACGTGCGCTGGCCAGAGAGACAGAAAGAAAGAAATACCCCCCAGGAGGGATGGCCATGCTGCAATTCCTTCTCCTCCATTCTCCTCTTGAGATCTTGGGCACACGAACACACACGCCTGGCATGAGTTTAAGACACCAGGTCCAGGACTCAAACTGTGGTCGACTACATGGGAGTCCAGTGACATAGCCATTATGGCAACTGCTGGTCCCTCTTTCTTTTTTGAAAAGTTATTTTTGTTTTGTTTTGCCCCTCCCCCCCTTTTTTGTTATAGGGCACGTGCGCTTGCCTGAGAAAGTGATAGAAAGTAAGAAATCACCCCCCAGGGGAGCTGGCCATGTGGCAATCCCTTCTCCTTCATTCTCCTCTTTGGATCTTGAGCACACATAGACTCTTCCATCCTTCTCTCTGGATCTTGGGCATGCACACACTTGCACCTGTAACGAGTTTTAAGCTGCCAGGTCTGGAACTCGAACAGCAGCTGACTATGTGGGAGTCCAGTGACATAACTGTTATGCCAGCTGCTGGTACCCCTAGGTACTCTTCCTAATCATAAAGTTAGACAGCAGGTCTTTATTTATTTATTTTTGCTATAGGGTATATGCACTTGCCAGGGAGAGAAAGAGAGACAGAGAGATGCACAGATAGAAATCACTCCCCAAGGGGATAACTATGCCTCAATCCCTTCTCTTCCATTGTTCTCTAGGGATTTTGAACATGCATGTATACATGACTGGTATGATTTTCGAGCTACCAGGTCTGAGACTCAAACTGCGCAGTCAGTCATGTGGGATCCAGTGCCCTTAACTTCCACACATCTGCCTGACATCAAGTCTTCTTACATTAAACTTCCTCTACTGTATTCACAGATACTGCTCTGAGATGAAAAAGAAAAAGATTGGGACCAGCAGTTAGCGTAATGGTTATGTTGCTGGACTCTAATGTAGTCAACCATGGTTTGAGTCCCCGACCCGGTGGCTTAAATTCACACTGGGTGCATGTGTGTGCATACCCAGGATCCCCAGAGGAGAATGAAAGAGAAAAGACTACAGAGTAGCCATTCCCCCTGAAGGATGATTCCTTGCTTTCTGTCTCTTTGTCCTTCTGGTGAGCGCACACGCCCTGTAGCAAAAACCTCTCCAAAAAAAGGAGAAAAAGATCAGCAGAGGAAAATGCAGTCAAAATCTACGGAAGCACCCTTGCACCAATTAGGCTGAACTAAATGGTACATAAGGCCAGAGAGTGACATATGACCACCTTCATCAGCTTGAAAATCAACTCTTGTAACACCAATTTTGTGTTCCACTGTGACCACCACTTCTCTTCTGCTCAACATGCAGTATCATGTAAGTCAAGTAACCTATTCCACTGCCAGCTTGCTCTGAAGCTTCTGAGAAAGGAATTGGATCCTATAAAGTGGATCTGAAGGTTCAATGCAGCCGGCAGAGGTGCTCTGGCTATGAACATGGGGATATGTGTATCTCTCTGCATATCAGCACTGGGGTCTCTGGATGCTTGAGCAGCCTACTATTTCTAAATGGGAAACTAGTATAAATTGGTCCCTGCAAGGGATGGAGTTAAAAAAGATTTATTTCTTAATATCTACTTATAGAAAGTATTCACCATCTGCTGTTTACTGGAGGAGTCAAATTAAACAAATTGTGTGATGTTAAATAAGAAAGTTAAAGATAAATCTAAAATAATGCTACTCTCTGCACTGGAGATATTTTTTCCTGTCTGTTGTATTTAGTTATGTTGGTTCAAGTAAAAATGTGAACTTTACACTATTATTATGTGTCCCAAGGGGCCAGAGGCTATCTTTTTCCTTACCTGGCTCAATCGTGATCACCATGCCGGGTTGCAGAGGAAGAGAGCGGGGCATGTCTGGAGTATCATGGACATCCATCCCCAGGTAATGGCCTACATGATGAGGGCAGTATTTCCGAGCAGCCTGCAAAAGACAATTATCACAATATTACTGGAACAAATAACTCCTTAAGGGGAAAGCTGGACATGTTAAAAAATCATGAGATATGTGCTGATACTGCTCCCTGGGTTCTACTTCTTACAGTCAACCAATCCTTGGGCTAATGCTTCAGATCTGATAGACTGCTACCCCTTACCTGTAGTTCTGCCAATGGCATTCCTACTACCCAAAATGCCATTCCCACTACTTACTAAACTACAAGCATGCTGACTTGGGGTATCCCAGTGATGACTGAGGCAAAAGAAAATGTCTTTCCTTGGGAAAGAGCAAATGACTGTTAGAATAGCTCTCTTTTATCTTCACATATCCTACCTACCTGGAGACTCTATGGATCTTGTAGAATTGGCTTAGATATTCCTGTCAGTTAATTAAACTTTTGTTGACCTGAGCAAGAGGGAATTTAGAGCTTCTTTCCTATTGATAATAGAAGTTCTGGCAGCCTACACTTAGAGGTGAGAGATGCTTAATAGTCTGTCTGGCTTGACCACCTAGCACCTTAACTTTAGAGCTAAGGTTTTACATTTTTACTGAATACTATCACAGATACAGATAAAATTCACTGAAGATGTGGCCTTGGGCATACTGTTAAAAGTCTCAGTGGCATCACTGAGACAGAAAACATCCTCTCCTTTGACCTCCAGAATGACCATGAAAGGATTCAGATAACCTCTTCTCTTTTTGTGCCCTCTTCCACTGTCTGCACCAGACTTCATTTTACGTTTTCTGAATAATGAATGGGTAATGTGGTATATATTGAGTCAGCATGTGCTGCCATCTTCTGGGAGAAGTAAATACTGATTCTCTTTGTTTTAATGCATGTTAAAGCTAAATCCCTTTCACACATGAAGGATGACAAAGATCATTTCTAAATCTAGATAGCTTTATATAGGGTAAAAATAGCATGCATGAAAAACAAAAACAAAAACACAGCATGCATGTTAGGTGCTCTTGAGAACTGGAGTTCAAACACATGAAGTACCTTGAAGGCATGATTCTCCTTCGTGTTCTTTATGATCCCCAGCTCTTTAAGTTTCTGCCCTGTCAGTGTCAGCATCATGCTGTAGATGTTCTCTAGGCTTGTCCCAGGGGAGCAAAGGGTCAGGCAATCTCTCTGGATCTCTAGAACAGCTTCATAGAGTTCTGCCTGAGGTGCACTGAACCTATGGACAAGAAAACCAAATAACTTAAATTTAGATTAATATGATACTGCAACAAGTTTGCTTCTAGGTTGATTAAAAAACTCCTTGATTATAATGAGGCATTGTTGATATTTAATATTTAATAAGCAATAATGGCCCAACTGCTATGGTATAGCAGTAATGCAAGTGCCCTGCAAAGCTGCAAGTCATATGGTTGACCAATGGTTCAGATTCTTTTTTTTTTTTTGAGAGATTTTTGCTATAGGGCATGTGCACTCACCAGAGAGACAGAGAGAGACAAAGAGAAAGAAAGTGAAAAATTACTCCCCACGGGGATGGCCATGCTGCAATCCCTTCTCTTCCAGTCTCCTCTTGGGATTTTGGGCACACATGCACATGAGTCCAGTGTGAGTTTCAAGCTGCCAGGACCAGGACACGAACCATGGTCAACTGTGTGGAGTCCAGCAATAGGGTCAGGCAATCTCTCTGGATCTCTAGAACAGCTTCATAGAGTTCTGCCTGAGGTGCACTGAACCTATGGACAAGAAAACCAAATAACTTAAATTTAGATTAATATGATACTGCAACAAGTTTGCTTCTAGGTTGATTAAAAAACTCCTTGATTATAATGAGGCATTGTTGATATTTAATATTTAATAAGCAATAATGGCCCAACTGCTATGGTATAGCAGTAATGCAAGTGCCCTGCAAAGCTGCAAGTCATATGGTTGACCAATGGTTCAGATTCTTTTTTTTTTTTTGAGAGATTTTTGCTATAGGGCATGTGCACTCACCAGAGAGACAGAGAGAGACAAAGAGAAAGAAAGTGAAAAATTACTCCCCACGGGGATGGCCATGCTGCAATCCCTTCTCTTCCAGTCTCCTCTTGGGATTTTGGGCACACATGCACATGAGTCCAGTGTGAGTTTCAAGCTGCCAGGACCAGGACACGAACCATGGTCAACTGTGTGGAGTCCAGCAATGTAACCATTATGACACCTGCTGGTCCCCCAATGGTTCAGATTCTTAGCCCAACTGACCTGAAACACACTAGACACACGTACAGGCACCCAGGATCCCGAGGAGTTGGAGGGGTGGCGGAAACGGGGATCATGCTATGATGAGACCTTGTCTAGGGTGCCTATCTATCTGTCTCTGTTGGTCTCTCTCTCGCACACATCTATTTTATAAGAAAAAGAAAAAGCAATAATCCTTCAACCTGGAGCAGCAACATGATCTCTCCTTCAAAGGGACAGGAGACACCTATGAAGCAAGGCTGGAAAACATACCCAGCCACACATTCAGAGGGTCAGACTAGGCTCACTTCTGATTCTTCCTTCCTTCCTTTCTTTCTTTCTTTTTTTAAAGAATTATTTTACTGAACTTTATTTAATTTGACCAGAGAGGGACAGAGTGAGAAAGAGAGAGAGAGAGAAAGCAAACTGCCAGGTCTGGGACTCGAACCATGGTTGACCATGTGGGAGTCCAGCACCCTTCACTACCACACCATTTGCTAGGCCAAATCCCGATCCTTTTTAATTCCTTATATTATAGGCTACCACCAAAAACAAAGAAAAAAAATGAAGCTTTTTTTCCCCCTGTACAGCTTGTGGGCCTGCAGGTTGGCCATGGCCGTGAGTCTCTGTTCCACAGGATGAAATTTGTTAAAGTTGTGCAGCTCATGCCCATGAACTACCAAAATATGATGTAAAGGTTGGCCTGACAAATTATCCTGCAGCATATTGTACTGGCCCACAGGCTTCTCAATAGGTTTGGTGTGGATAAGGCCAAGTGGAAGTGACCGGGATGAATACAATGTAGAGAGCATTGATGGTCAACCTAGTGCTTTCACTTGCTATTAGGATGCAGGCCTTGCTAGAACTACCACTGGAAATAAAGTTTTTGGGGCCCTGAAGGGAGCGGTGGATGGAGGCTTATCTATCTTTCACAGTACCAAATGATTCCCTGGTTATGATTCTGAAAGCAAGGAATTAATGCAGAAGTCCACTGGAAGCACATCATGGACCAGGGCCAAAACGTTGCGGACAATATGTGTTATCTAATGGAAGATGATGAAGACACTTACAAGAAACAATTCTTAAAAAAAAAGAAAAGAAAAGAAAAAGAAACAATTCTCTCAATACATAAGAAATAATGTAACTCCAGGGAACCAGCAGTTAGCTTAATGGTTATGTCGCTGGATTCCCACGTAGTCGACCGCAGTTCGCGTCCTAGACCTGGTGGCTTCAATAGTTATTAAAAGTTCATTTAAGAAATACAGAATCTGAATGGGAGAAATCTTAAATATTTAGCCCATCCTCTCTTGCAAATATTCTAAATCATATCTGTAGGTATCCATTAAAACAAGAATAAAAATAAAGGAAAAAAATAAATAAGGAAAAAAAATCTTCTTGACTAACCTATAAAAAAGGCAAGAAAGCATATGAAAAAAGAAAAAAAACAACAAAGAAAGGTAAGTAGGGGATAAATAATAAGACATAGATTTAAGTCTTGCATACCAGTAAATAAACTGAATATCAACTTTCCAAAAACATAAAAGTAAAGACTGACAGACTACAATAAAAAAAAAAGAAGTATATGTTATATATAAGAGATATAGACAGGTAGAAAGTAAAAGGATAGAAAAAGATACACCATACAAACACTAAATAAAAGAAAGCTGATATAGCTCTCCAATTACCAATGTAGATAATGAGGGTAGTGTTAGAAGTAGAGACATTTCCTAATGATCAAAGGACAATCTACCAGAAGATGTACTAATTTTAAATTGAATGCACCTATTAACATCACCTCAAAACACATTAAGCAAAAACTGACATAACCAAAATAAGAAAGATAAACCCACAATTATGAGTGAGGTTTTTAGAACATCTCTCACTAACACATCCTACAAGTTTTTTTTTTTTTTTTTAAGAGGTTTTAGCTATAGGGTGCGTGTGCTCGCCAGACAGACAGAGAGAGAGACAGAGAGACAGAAAGCGAGAAATCACCCCCCAGGGGGATGGCCACGCCGTAATCCCTTCTCCATTCTCCTCTTAGGATCTTGGGCGCACACACACATTTGCCCAGCGTGAGTTTTAAGCCACCGGGTCCAGGACGCAAACCGCGGTCGACTACGTGGGAGTCCTGCGACATAGCCATTACACTAACTGCTGGTCCCTCACATTTTACAAGTTCTGAACAACATGGTTAAAAGATTTCCTGAGCACTAAGCTAAATCAATGGGGAAATATGATATCTTATCCAACCCCCTCCCCCTCCCCCAGTAATTGACTGCTTTTACTAAATACTGACTGCGTAGGTAGATATGAGAAAGAAGCACTTGAGAGCAATAGCAAAAATCCAGAGATCCCTGAATTACATTCACAAGTTTACATGTTACTCAGTTCCTATTAAACCTCAAAAGTATTAACGAATCCAAACACAAAATTATGTGCAAGGGACCAGCAGGTGGCATAGTGGTTAAGGAGCTGGACACTCCCACATGGCTGACCATGGTCTGAGTCCTGGACCTGGTAGCTTGCCTTCTCACCACCACCTCACCCCCCACTCCTGGTCAAATTAAAATAAATGAATAAATAAAATTAAATAAATAGTTCTTTAAAAAAAAAAAAAAAAAGAAAAAAAGAAAGAAGCCAAAGAAAGAAGTTAAAAAGAAGAGGAGGGGTTGGCAGGTGGTGTGGCGGTTAAGAGTGGTTGAGGGCGCTGGACTCCTACATGCTTGATCACAGTTTGAGTCCCAGTCTTGGCAGCTTGTTTTCTCACTTTCCCTTTCTTTTCTTTTCTTTCTTTAAAAAAATAATTATTTACTTATTTATTCATTTATTTTCATTTGACCAGAGAGAGACAGAGAGAGAGAGGGAAAGTGAGAAAGCAAGCCACCAGGTCTGAGACTCGAACCATGGTCGGCCATCGCCCATGTGGGAGTGTCCAGTGCCTTAACCACCATGCCACCTGCTGGTCCCTCACTTTCCCTCTTTCTTGCTCTCTCTCTCTCACTCTGCTCCTCTCTGGTCAAATTAAAATAAATAAATAAATAAAGTTAAATAAAATAATAATTTTTTTAAAAAAAGAAGAGAGAGAATTGTCCTAAAATGTCCCTTGCTCAGAAGAATGATTGGGTAGCCTAGAAGAAAGCAAGCTTCCCCATAGCTCAGAGGCTAAGAGCTAAACCAAACAACTTTCTATGATGCTATTTCAGATAACAACAAAGCAGCAAAAAGAAAAAAAAACCTACAAATCTATTTCTGATAGTGAAGCAGATATCATGGAAAAATCTAGTCAATGTTTTTACTATTAGTAACTTACTAATATTTAGTTGTTCTTAAATTTAATCAAAAAAATTAATTAATCCATTTTAATAATTTTTTATTTATTTTTATTACTATTTTTAAAAATCTAACCAGACAGAGGATTGGCAGTTAGCATAATGGCTATGTCGCTGGACTCCCATACAGTCAACCGCGGTTCATGTCCTGGACCCGGTGGCTTAAAACTCATGCCGGGTGCATGTGCATGCATGCCCAAGATCCTGAGAGAAGAATGGAGGAGAAGGGATTGCAGCGTGACCATCCCCCCGGGGGGTGATTTCTCGCTTTCTGTCTCTCTTTCTCTCTCTCTCTGTCTGGCGAGCGCACGTGCCCTAAAGCAAAAAAAAAAAAAAAAACCAACAACTCTCAAAAAAAAAAAAAACCTGACCAGACAGAGAGAGAGTAAAGGAAAGTGAGAAAGCGAGGTCTGAGACTCGAACTGTGGTCCACCATGTGGGAGTCCGGCACCTGCTGGACTCCCTTAGCTGTCCTTAAAATAACAACTTCTTTGGGGCCAGTGGATGGCGTAGTGGTTGGAGGCACTGAACTCCAACATGGCGGCCTGTGGTTTGAATCTTGGACCTGGTGGCTTGCTTTCTCATTCCTCCCCACCCTGTTTCTTTCTGGTCAAATTAAAAAATAATAATAGTAAATGAAGTTAAATAAAATAATTCTTTAAAAAAATAACTT